GGGGGGGGGGGGGGTGGGTGAATTAGTATAGCGATAAAATTACGTTGGTTAAAAAAAATTTCGTACGATAAAATCCGTTTCCGACGAAAAACCATTTCGTAAAGGAATAACTTTTGAAAGCGTACATAAGAGAGTAGTGGATGTAAAAAGCAAGTAAGGAGGTTTGCAGTTAAAGTGAATTATTCAAAGAAATACAAACCAGATTTTAGAGTGGTTCGGTCGTCGTGACCTACATCCACTTTGCCATTTCCTCTTCCGTCGAGGCCACTAGCATCCACTATTGATCTTCCTTTAATAGGCGAAGATCAATCTCTCCTTCTTACACCCCCACACATGTAAAAACACACTTCGATCTGTTGAATCTTGGATTTTGATGATGAAACTAATTGATAAGTGTATGATTTAATCTGCGTTTTAAGTGATGCTGGATGCTTCGACCAGGATGAAACAATTAAAGCAGGAAGAATCATGTTGTGTTGGGGGAAAACATGTTAGAAGATTGGACGTCGAGCCTGAGGATCGGTCAACGTATCGACAGAAGGCTTCGGGCTATGGATTTGGGCATCGGGCCAAGAAGAACAGATATTGCGCTAAGGATATCAGAGTTGTAGAGTCAACTGGCCGATTGGGCAATAGGTCGCAAGAGAGGACGATGCGCCAAAGAATCGGACGAAGCGTCAAGGGACCAATGACATGTCGGACAATTTGATTAATGCTTAGTATTAATTGTCTAGATTAAAATGTGTTTTACATGTGTACGATTAACTACGATAGCAAGGAATGAAGCAAAATGAAGTCCTAGAGTCAAGAACGTGATTTTGTTGGGAGTTCGAGAGTTCATCGGAAGTCCGAACATTCGTCGAAAGTTTTGCAAGAACCAGTCGAGAAGTCTCAGAGCTTGCCAGAGAAGCTCATCGGAACTTGCCAAGAAGATCATCGTGAAGTCTAGGAGCTTGTCGGGAGTCCACTGGAACATTATCGAGAGATCGTCGAAAGTTCGTCGGAAGATCACTAGAAGCTCGCTAGAAGAAACTAGACTTACGGACTTGTTTAGCTTAGGAAATGTCTTAGAATTCGTAGTTAGCACGTAATTGGAATTGGATTTAGGCCAACCTAATTAGGGGCCAGTTAAGCCCATGTAAGGACTATGTTGGGCCCAATGAAAGGCCCAAACAATGACCCATGAGGTGGCACCGTCATGGCACAATCTCCGAGACTATGTCAGGCGGTGGTACCACCCAAACATAGCCTCCGAGAGGCTACAAGCGGTGGTACCACCCAATGTCAAGCAGTGGTACCGCCCGGACCCAGGAAACCCAGGATGAGATGTTTTTAGGCTCCAAGTTTGAATCAACTTGAAGCCTATATTTATAGGCTTGACATCCCTGGTTAACATACACAAGCACATAGAGTTTAAAACTGAAGAAATGCTGTTGCAATCACTTGAGAAATCCCCTCTAAGTCTAAATTTAGAATTCTATTTAGGAGGAGTGAGTGTTTATAAGGGTTGTCTCCTAAACCCGGTAAAAGGAGAAGAGGGGTGTAAGAAGGAGGTTGATCTTCGCCTATTAAAGGAAGATTGATAGTGGATGTCGGTGGCCTCGACAGAAGAGGAATCGCGAAGTGGATGTAGGTCATGACGACCGAACCACTCTAAAATCTAGTTTGCATTTACTTCTTGCTATTTACCTTATTGCAAACTGAATTCCTCCTTCACTATTTTTCCATACAATTTCAAGTTAACATATTTATGAAACCGGTTTTATTGAAACAAAATGTTTTTGAAGACGTATTTTACCGCTGCACTAATTCACCCACCCATCTTAGTGCCGACCCCGTTCCTAACAATTGGTATCAGAACCTCGTTTTTCCCATTTGGTTTAACACCTAAAGAGAAATGACTCTTTTCGGCTTTTAAGAGGGTCACTCTCTCATTCATCCTTCCTTTTTCAATGGGACGGACTATACTTATTGGAAAACTTGAATGAGAGTTTTCTTGCTTTCATTGAATCTTGATTTATGGCACATAGTAAAATTCGGTTTTAGAAGGTCTTCTCTTCCAATGAACCATTGGAATGATTTGGAGAAGAAGACTTTTTCCTTAAATGCTAGAGCTATGAACGCTCTATTTTGCGCTTTGGATAAAATTGAGTTTAATCGAATTTCTATGTGCGAAATGACTTTTGATATATGACGCACTCTCGAAATCACACATGAAGGCACTAGCAAAGTTAAAGATTCAAAAATCAATTTTTTAATGCATGATTTTGAACTTTTTCAAATGAAGCCGAGCGAAACTATTGTTGACATGTATACCCGTTTTACGGATGTTGTTAATGGTTTAAAAGCTCTTGGCAAATATTTTTCGAATTTTGAACTTGTCAACAAAGTTTTACGCTCACTTTCCAAAACTTGAGACTCTAAAGTAACGATCATACAAGAGGCCAAGGATTTGAACCGTTTTCCACTTGAAGAATTAATAGGGTCTTTAAAGACATATGAAATGAGTTTTATAACATATGTTGAACATGATGAACTTGAGAACTACCTTCCAAAGAACAGGAAGGATTTGGCGCATCGAACAAAAGAAGACCACTCGAGCGAAAGCTCAAGTGATTATGAATTTGAACTTTTCACAATAAAACTTAAAAAGTACTTAAAGCAAGAATCAAAAAATAAAAATATATATTGAAGAAGAAAGCACTTTGGGATGAAACGAGCTCATCTAAAGACGAGAAGAAAATCAACAAAGGTGATGTGGCAAACTACGCCTTAACGGCTTTCGACGATGAGGTAATCAAAATGCCCTTAGTTTACTTTGAAATTACATAATGGCTTTCATGAGTTATTTTTAATTTAGTTTAGAATAATTATTTTTCTTAAAAATTACATGTTTAATAATGTAATGAAAATATAAAAAATTAGGAATCATGCTTATCATGCTAGTAATTTTGAAAATGATAATGACAAATGCATGTTTCATGATAAACAAACAAAATGATTTTGAATGCCTTACAAAATCATGCTTGATAATTTAATGCATAATGATCATGCTTAATGAGTTTATCTTTCGAAATGATGTATGATGATTTTTGAGATTTATGGATTATCGATTTTTACATTAATGAACGTGGCCTTTTCAGTTTTAAACTATGATGTATGTTTTCATACAAACACTTAAGCATATTGATTTGAAATCATGTTTAATGGTTTTATAATTCGAAATTATATATGATGAATCTTGCAATTTATGGATTATCGATTTTTACCATACTGAAAG